ACTTTAACTAGGTAACTTGTTAGATACATAGCTAACTTTGACTAGGTAACTTGTTAGATACATAGCTAACTTTAACTAGGTAACTTGTTAGATACATAGCTAACTTTAACTAGGTAACTTGTTAGATACATAGCTAACTTTAACTAGGTAACTTGTTAGATACATAGCTAACTTTAACTAGGTAACTTGTTAGTTACATAGCTAACTTTGACTAGGTAACTTGTTAGATACATAGCTAACTTTAACTAGGTAACTTGTTAGATACATAGCTAACTTTAACTAGGTAACTTGTTAGATGTATAGCTAACTTTAACTAGGCAAGGCAAGGCAAGGCAAGGCAAGTTTATTTATATAGCACCTTTCAACACAAGGTAATTCAAAGTGCTTTACAAAAATGGAAGACATTTTAAAAATGGCATTTAAAATCAGTCATTAAAAAGGAAAGATAATAAAATAAACATTAAAAGAAAAAATACATGGATAAAAGTTAAAAGTTACAGTGCAGTTTAAGATGTGAATAGTTCAATTAAAAGCAGCGGCAAAAAGAAAAGTCTTCAGCCTGGATTTAAAAGTAGTAAGAGTTGCAGCGGACCTGCAGGTTTCTGGGAGTTTGTTCCAGATATTCGGAGCATAATAACTGAATGCTGCTTTACCATGTTTAGTTCTGACTCTGGGGACAGAAAGTTGACCAGTCCCTGAAGACCTGAGGGTTCTGGATGGTTCATAATTTAGCAGTAGGTCAGACATGTATTTTGGGCCTAAACCATTCAAAGCTTTATAAACCAGCAACAATATTTTGAAATCTATTCTTTGACACACAGGAAGCCAGTGTAAGGACTTCAGAACAGGAGTGATGTGATCCACTTTCTTAGTGTTAGTGAGGACTCGAGCAGCGGCGTTCTGAATTAGCTGCAGCTTTCTAATAGATTTTTTAGTGAGGCTTGTAAAGACACCATTGCAGTAGTCGAGTCTACTGAAGATAAAAGCATGGACAAGTTTTTCCAAATCCTGCTGTGACATTAGTCCTTTAATCCTAGATATGTTCTTTAGGTGATAGTAGGCTGATTTAGTAACTGTTTTAATGTGACTGTTGAAACTCAGGTCAGAGTCCATGACTACACCTAGATTTCTGGCTTCATCTGTTGTTTTGAACATTGCAGACTGAAGCTCAGCGCTAACTTTTATACGTTCTGCCTTGGCTCCAAAAACCATTACCTCAGTTTTATCTTTGTTTAATTGGAGAAAGTTCTGACACATCCAGTCATTGATTTGTTCAATGCACTTACTCAGTGTTTGAATTGGAGCATAATCTCCTGGTGAAATTGTTACGTAAATTTGTGTGTCATCCGCATAGCTATGGTAACTTATTTTGTTGTTTTTCATTATCTGAGCCAGTGGTAGCATGTAGATGTTAAAGAGAAGAGGCCCCAAGATGGAGCCTTGAGGTACCCCACATGTCATATTTGTCAACTCAGATGTGTATTTACCTATAGAAATAAAGTTTTTTCTGTCCTTTAAGTAGGACTCAAACCAATTTAGAACTGTTGCCGAAAGTCCCACCCAGTTTTCTAGTCGGTCTAGTAATATGTTGTGGTCAACAGTGTCAAATGCAGCACTGAGATCTAATAATACTAACACTGAAGTTCTGCCACTGTCTGTGTTTAAGTGGATGTCATTGAAGACCTTTACAAGAGCAGTCTCAGTGCTGTGGTTTGGACGAAATCCTGACTGGAACACATCCAAACAGTTATTTAAATGCAAGAAGTTACTCAACTGTTGAAATACTACTTTTTCAATGATTTTACCTAGAAATGGCAGGTTTGATATTGGCCTGTAATTGTTCATTACTGAGGCATCTAGATTATTCTTTTTTAAGAGCGGTTTAATGACTGCAGTTTTCAGGGCCTCTGGAAAAATACCTGAGTGAAGAGATGTGTTTACTATATGAAGTAGATCTGAGGCCATGCAAGGAAAAACATCTTTGAAAAATCCTGTTGGAATAATATCAAGGCAGCAGGAGGAGGATTTCAGAAGTTGAATAATGTCCTCTAAGTTTTTACCATTAATCTGATGGAATTGTGTCATGGTGTTTGAATTGATATTAGGTGGACATAGGGACAAAACATTTGCTGTACCTGATGTAGAGGCACTGACTGCTTGTCTAATTTTCTGAATTTTGTCAGTGAAGAAGGAGGCAAAATCATTGCACGCCCTGGTGGATAGAAATTCAGAGGCTACTGACACTGGGGGGTTAGTTAGTCTGTCGACGGTAGCAAACAAGGCACGTGCGTTGTTTTTGTTTTTGGTAATGATGTCAGAGAAGAAAGACTGTCGTGCGTTTTTCAATTCCAAATTATAAAGGCCAAGTCTCTCTTTATAGATTTCAAAGTGAACCTGGAGATTTGTTTTTCGCCACCTACGTTCAGCTTTTCGACACTCTCTTTTTTCTGTTCTCACGGTCATGGCCTTTCTCCATGGAGATATTTTCTTGCTAATCACTTCCTTTACCTTAGTTGGAGCAATGGTATCTATAACATTTTTAATTTTTGAATTAAAATGATCTACTAGCTCATTTACTGAGATGTTAGCAGGGGCAAGTGTGGATGAGAAATTATGAGTAAACATTTCCCTAGTGTTTTCTGTTAAATATCGCTTTGTGGTTACCTCTTTCTGAACATTTTTGTGAACAGAAATAGAGCTCTCAAAGAAAACACAGGAATGATCAGAGAGTGCAACATCAGTCACCACAACCTTTGAGATATTCAGACCCTTTGAGATAATTAAGTCCAGAGTGTGCCCCTTGTTGTGCGTGGGCTCCGCCACATGCTGAGTCAGTCCATAGTTATCAAGAACACAAAACAGTTCTTTAGCCCCTCTGTCCTGGGGGTTGTCAACATGGATGTTAAAATCACCAACAATGACTAAACGGTCAAAGTCAATACACACTATAGACAGCAGTTCAGTAAAATCATCAAAAAAGCTTGCACAGTATTTGGGTGGTCTATAGATATTTAGGAACAGAGCTCGAGAGGAGCATTTCAGCTGAAGGGCCACATATTCAAAAGAAGCAAAGTCCCCATAAGATGTCTTCCTGCATTGAATGGAATCATTGAACAAAATAGCAACTCCACCCCCTTTCTTATGCATTCTTTCCTGACTCATAAAACTAAAGTTGGGAGGGGTTGATTCGATAAGAACAGCTGCACTGTTATTTTGTTCAATCCAAGTTTCCGTTAAAAACATAAAATCGAGATTGTGCTCAGTGATAAAATCATTGATTAAAAATGTTTTTCCTGCCAAAGACCTGACATTTAATAAAGCTAGTTTAAGTTTGTTAAATACACTATCAGTAAAACATTTTGTGACAAGCTGTGGCTGACATGGAATCACTGCTAAATTTGATAACCTCACACAAACGTTTGAGCACTTCCTGTTTCTAAGCTGATTTACCGCTCTTAATCTATTACCTATCAACACAGATATCGGCAAAGCTACTGGCAGGCAGGGCCCCGGCATGTGCTGGAAAGAGTTGAGAGTGCCATATGCCCTTGAGCCTGGACCCAGCACATATCAGTAAAAGTTTGTTGCGTTTTGTACACACACATCCTTATCAGGCTTCGGAGACTGCAGATGCTTTCTTGAAGGGATGGGAGGTGGTTGACATAGGCACAGTGATGAAGACGGGGGAGATGGTGCGCGTCTCTGCTTCGGTGATTTTGGTGGGCGTCGTTGAGGGGCGGGGGTAAAGGACATGCTGCCAACCCTGCATCTCGCCTTCATGCGGTCATCGAACTCCAGGGGGGAGGGCGAGGGTGAAAGGGTGAGCGGAGAGTAGAGAGAGCTGGGAGATGAATGAAGAGTATCCTCCAAGGCGTTGACAGGGGGGGTGACGGGCAGTGGAGACTCCTTCATTTGTGTCATAGGTCTCCCATAATCAGAACATTCCTCAGGCGGGTGCAGTGATACCTCTTCAGGGTTTTCTGCGCAATGTGTTGTGTCTTTCTCCTGTTTTGATTCCTCTTGCCGCTTGTCCTTGGCAGAGGGAACAGATTGCTGACGCAGGCAGTTGAATATGTTGGAGATAAACAATTTCACTCCTGACTTGTTCAGGCAAACTCCATCTGCCTTAAAAAGATGTCTGCGATCCCAGAAAAAGTTAAAATTGTCAATAAAATGGACAGAATGGTCAGTGCAGGCAGCTGAAAGCCACATGTTCAATGCAAACAGTCTGCTGAATCTCTCCACTCCTCTTCTGACTGGCGGTAGAGGGCCACTGATGAATACCTCCGCATTTAGAGAGCTGACAGTTTCCAACAGACATTTAAAGTCTTCTTTCAGCGCTTCTGACTGTTGTTTCACAACATCATTTGTTCCAATATGTAGTACCACATTCTTCACAGTCGGATGTTCAGCCCCAATATGCAGGATCTTCTCAGCCAAGTCGGAGACCATATCCTTGGGAAAACAGAGTACTTTGGTGTTGTTCTTACTACACAGACCTTTTACATCTCTTACAGCAGAATCACCCACAATCAGAGTTTCAGGCCCAGCCGTTAGCTTTCCCTCTAGCCTTTTACTTTTGGAGTAGCTATTGGTCCTTACCCTGCTGTGTGAAGAGGACGGGTTATCCAGGTCATCAGAAAGAGATCTCCGGTTCTCGGTCAGCGGAGCGTATCTGTTCTGGATTGGCACACTTGGTGGTTTAGGAGGATTGTTTGTAGTTCTCCCTTTAGCAGCTGTCCACGGCTGTTTCCTAGTATGAATAGGGGTTGAAGAGGCACTCTTCCTGGGTGATAACAATGCAGGCCAGCCGGTCGCATCACAGATTTCAGAGCGCTGGGCTCTGCCTGTTATTCGTCCTCCCAAATCCCATGGAAATGATTTACTCTTAGGCTTTGCACCCAGAGAGTTCCAGGGAGGACTACCACTTGTAGATTTATTACCCAGTACACAGCCCTCCTGTTCCTTGGAAACCTTGTAGCTGCTAACTAGCTGTGAGT